TGCTTGCAACCCCCCCACGCAAGGGCAGAGACCAACCCCATGAATGGCCATCCTGGCTCATGCCCACGCAAAGCAGCAACTCCGATCTAGACCAGAGGGGTTCAACAGAAAGGAGGCGAGTGAGTGAACAAAAGGGAGGGTATCAAAATACAAAAGGAACCCACCTCCGCAGCAAAGCCCTCCGGCGTGCTGATTCCACAGCTAACAACCCTTCCTTCCTTCCTCCTCCTCTTCCTCCTCCTGCCTCACTCCCCCTTAACTCCCGGCCAGCCTGTCTCCCCTCTTCCACCGAGGCACGAGCGACAGCACGCAAGCGCGATCTGGAGCAGCTCCGCCGGCTTCACAGATTCCCCGGGAAGATACGTCACGGGCGCCAATGTCCAGGCCGCGGCTTCTGATTGGTGAAAAGGCTGGGAGAAGGCGGACTGAGTCGTTGGCTCTTGTTAGCTCTACCTGAGAGGCGGGGAGTTGCTCCTTTGATGCTTTAAGTCTTACCATTCTCTGTGTTGTTTTTATCTGCCTGGAGACGGATAGAGGAGCGGTGTCTCGGTTCCTAAGACCATCGGAAATATGTGTTTTCCGATGGTCTTAGGCGACCCCTGTGAAAGCGTCGTTCGACCCCCAAAAGGGTCGCGACCCACAGGTTGAGAACCACTAATTTAGGGCATAACGAATTGTGCCTTCCCAGTTGCAACCCTCTTTTCTGTGGAATAGTTTAACTCCTGCAATCAAATCAGCCTCCACCCTGTTGCATTTTAGGAAAGCTTATAAGAAGGAGGAAAGGAGCTGGGATTTGCTGAGAGCCCTGGTCTTGGATTGTAGAGGAATATTTATTCTTCCTCAATGCATATATTTTTCTTTGTAATGTTATAAAAATGTGATTATAATTATTAAGATTAGGATTTTATATTTTTATATTGATTGTCCCAAAGGTGCTTTTTCATGAATCAACTGGACTTGGTTAAACTAGTAGATCAGCAAAACACAGTGGACGTAGTATACTTAGATTTCAGTAAGGCATTTGACAAAGTAGACCACAACCTACTAATTGGCAAGCTAGAAAAAGGTGGAATAGATAACAGCACCACCAGATGGATCTGTAGCCCGCTGACAAACCGTACTCAGTGAGTAGTCCTCAACGGCAGTACATCCACATGGAGAAAAGTAAGCAGTGGGGTACCACAAGGTTCCATCTTAGGCCCAGTACTCTTCAATATCTTCACTAATGAAGATGAAGGAATTGAAGGGGAACTCATCAAATTTGCAGATGACACCAAGCTGTCAGGAGTAGCCAACACACCAGAAGACAAAATCAGGATCCAAAAAGATCTTGACAAACTTGAACAATGGGTCCTATCCAACAAAATGAGTTTCAACTTGGAAAAAAGTCTTACACTTAGGCAGGAAAAACCAAAGGCACGAATACAGATTGGGTGAGACCTGGCTTAAAAACAGTAACTGTGAGAGGGACCTTGGAGTCCTAGTGGACGATCACTTGACTATGAGCCAGCAGTGTGCAGCAGCAATAAAAAAAGCTAATACAATTCTGGGTTGTATAAACAGAGGCATAGAATCAAGATCACATGAAATACTAGTACCGCTTTACAAAGCCCTAGTAAGACCACACCTGGAATATTGCAGCCAATTTTGGTCACCATATCACAAAAAAAGATGTTGAGACTCTAGGAAGAGTACAGAGAAGAGCAACAAAGATGATTAGGGGACCGGAGGCTAAAACATATAATTGGGTATGTCTAGGTTAATGAAGAGAAGGACGAGGGGGGACATGATAGCAGTGTTCCAATATCTCAGGGGCTGCCACAAAGAAGAGGGAGTCAAGCTACTTTCCAAAGCACCTGAAGGCAGGACAAGAAGCAACAGGTGGAAACTAATCAAGGAGAGAAGCAACCTAGAACTAAGGAGAAACTTCCTGACAGTTAGAACAATTAACCAGTGGAACAACCTGCCTCCAGAAGCAGTGAATGCTCCAACACTGGAAGTTTTTAAGAAGAGACTGGACAGCCATTTGTCCGAAATGGTATAGGGTCTCCTGCCTGAGCAGGGGGTTGGACTAGATGACCTCCAAGGTGCCTTCCAACTTTATTATTATTATTACTAACTAAGATGATCAATGATCAAAGGCCTGGATGCTAAAACATACAAAAAACAGCTGAGGGACTTGGGTTTGGATAGTCTAAAGAAAAGAAGAAATAGGAGAGTATTCCAGTATCTGAGAGGCTGCCACAAGGCAGAAGGGGTCAGGTTGTTCACCAGAGCACCAGAGGGAAGGACAAGAAATAATGATTGGAAACTGATCAAGGAGAGAAGCAACCTGGAATTAAGGAGAAACTTTCTGATAGTGAGGACAATCAACCAGTGGAACAGCTTACCCCCAGAAATCGTGAGTGCTCCATCACTGGAGATTTTTAAGAAGAGACTAGACAATCACCTGCCCAAGATTGTGTAGGTTCTCGTGCTTGAGTAGGGGGCTGGACTAGAAGACCTCCAGGGTCCCTTCCAGCTCTGTTCTATTCTATTCTATTCTATTCTATTCTATTCTATTCTATTCTATTCTATTCCATTCCATTCATCCAAGAAGCTTCTTCAGCTCTGACTGGATGGTGGGGAATGGAAAGATTTATACTACTTGCCGACAGCTGGCCATTTGCATTCTTTTAGATAAGCTTCCAGGTGGCCTCAATGACTCTGTAAAAGAATGTAAATGATCAGCTGTCTGCAAGGAGTATAAATCCTTCCATTCCGTTCCATTCCCCACCATCCAATCAGAGTTGAAGAAGCTTCTTAGATGAGAAGCGAAACATCTTCAACGAGAAAAAAAAGGTCCAGCCAGTTGCCTCGTGAAAAAAGCACCTTTGGGACAACCATGACCTGGATGACTGAGAACCTCTATAGACTTTTATACTGGCTGTTTTTATTAATGGTGGTACACTGCCCAGAGACACATTTTTTAAGATGGGTAGCTATACATGTTCAATGAATGAATGAATGAATAATTTGTAATGTTACTTATTATTAATAATTATTCTGTTGATATTTATTCCTTTGTTCTATTGTGGGTTTTTTTAAAAAAAAAAAAGTTAATCTTTTTACAGAAAGAAGAGATTGGAACCTGCTCAGAATCCCGTTAGTTTGGAGTGTTATATACTTTATTAAAAATTTTTTACTGTGTTCTCCTTTTGAAAAGTTCTTTCACTAGCTGTTTGCAAGGTTATTAATTGAATGTTCTCATTTTGCATAGACATTTGTTTCAAGATCGATTTCTTTATTCCTTCCTAGGGTTGTTACACTGTGATCCTGAATTCCCTTGAAACCTATGTATATCTTGCAGGAGCTCTTGCCATTGGTGTTTTAGCCATTGAGGTACGGTACAAACTGGGATCCTGCTGGCCACAATCATGCCAAAACATGCCTCCTATCCCTTATATTCACACCACATCCTCCCCTCATCTGAATTTTTCCTTTCTGTTCAGAAAGTAGCTTGTAGGAATGTGTAAAAAAATAATTTAGAGCAGTATTTCTCTAACTTGGAAATTTGAAGATAAGGTAAGGTAAGGTAAGGTAAGGTGAGGTGAGATGAGATGAGATGAGATGAGATGAGATATAAGATAAGATAAGATAAGATAAGATAAGATAAGATAAGATAAGATAAGATAATCTTTATTGTCATTTTTATACTGTGGGCACAATGGCACACATCAAAAATGAAATTTAGTTGCCCGCTCTCAAAGTGAAACACATACATGACACACACCTAAACATACTATGAACAACATATGTATAGACCCACATCCCTACATATACGTAGCAAATAAATATTAAATATTGTTCATCTTGAATATATAACGGAAGGAGGAAGCTTGAGAGTTCGCAAGGTTAATGCTGTATGGAATGAAACTCTGGCTGAATCTGGATGTTCTGCTTCGGATACCACGAAGCCTCCTCCCAGAAGGTAACAAGGAAAACAGGTCGTGAAGAGGATGTGTAGCATCCTAGACAATCCTGTGGACCCTGCTCAAGCAGCGCTTCTGTGCTATGTCCTGGATGGGAGAGAGGAAACTGCCAATGATCTTTTCAGCCATTCTCACCACTCTCTGCACCGCCTTCCTGTCTGAAGCAGTGATGCCTCCAAACCAGACTGTGATGCTGTATGACAGGATTCTCTTGATTGTCCCCCTGTAGAAAGTGGTCAGGACAGGGGAAGGAAGATGTGCTTTTCTCATGCGGCCCAGAAAATGCAGGCGCTGCTGTGCCCGCTTCACTAGTTCAACTTCCAGAATTCCCCTAGCTGGGGAATCATCTGACAATTGCCAAGTTTGAGAAAAGGTGATTCAGGGGAAGTGCCTTGAATTTTAGGGTGAACCCAGCACTTCACTGACATTCCTTGCCATTTCCCAGTTACCTGGATGATTCTGGGAGTTGAAGTCCACAAGTCTTAAAGTTGCCAAGGTTGGAGACCCCTGCCTTAAAGCAACTGGTAATTGAGAAATCAACCAATTAAAGTTAGGTGTGACTCTCAGAACAGCTCAATTTCTCTTATTATTATTAAGCTGGTTTTGAAGTCTGAAGTTTGAATAGGCACTGAAAATCCTATACAATCCTAATTGCTAACTTGAAGCGTTTATATGTGCTGGGAAACAACTGTCCTATACTGCCCTCTCGTGTTAGGCATAGCATACTCACTCATTTCAAATGGATATATGTTTGAGATGTAGTCAGTTTTACTTAATAAAAATGCGTGGAAACAAAGCAGTTATTTACTTTTCTAATTTAGCATTCATTGGAAAATTATTTCTGTATTCAGTTATGGATCAGTTTAATAGTTCTTTTTAGGTTTTTGTGCAGATTATCGAGATTCGACAAGATTGCTTAAATTTCCACCCATCACAGGGATAAACCACCATGGTTTAGGGCACGGGTGTCAAACTCGCAACATCATGTGACATGTGACATATCGCGCCTTTTTTCCATTGCTGGCAATGGGGTGGGCATGGTTTTGCCATGATGCATCCGGCCCATGGGCCGGAAGTTTGACACCCTTGGTTTAGGGGGTCCTGGGCATCCTTCAGCGGTTGGTGATTCTGTAGTTAAATGTATGTCACAGCATCATTTCAGCCCCTCATTAGATTATTTGAGCCAAAGAAAAGGAGATGGAAGAAACTATTGGAATTAGTCAACTAAAGAAAGTACTTTGGTCCTCTTAAAGAGCAGAAGCTTTAAATTGATCATTGCCTCACAGGCAGGCCACAGAAATAATTAAGTAAAAGGAGTGATATTACCTCAGCAGGAGTAAGTTACTATTTAGTGATTTTTTTCAGCAGAGAAATTTTGGAACAAATTTGTCCAACTGGCCCCCAAAACTTTTGGGCTAAGAAAGAACAGAATTTCCTCCCTTTTTTAAAAAAAAAAGCATACAAACCTGAATCAGAAGAAAAGTATTAATGATTTCCATGCAGAATTCTTCTTTTGGATAAAGTTGATAGATCTTTGATTGAATCCTAGACCTATTCTTCCAGTGGTTCTCCCTTGTTTTCTTTTGCTAAGTGTAGCTAAACATTTCTGTTATAATTAGATTCAGTGGGCACCTATTTTGCCATATTAAATATAAATGTAGCCTTTGACATAGCATATACATACATACTCCCCTATACGCTTCTAATGCTTTACATTTTCATAGAGATAGATAAGCAAAACATACAGATCTACATACATTCATATTCATACACATTTTGCTCTTCATATTTTATATGGCTGTAATACAGAACTTCTTTTAAATTTATAAGTTTATATCCTTTATATCTTCTATGTCTACTTTATATGGCTCTTACATTCAACTTTCTGCCTATTATATTTTAAAGTTTCTTCACGATGACTATTTGTATAACCTCTCCCCCTTTTGAAGATCTATGACTGAAATATGTAAAACTAAAATGGATTTGATTTGATCTGTAATAACCAGGATCCCCTTTTTTGTTTTATGTCCTTCACAGCTGTTTGCTATGATCTTTGCTATGTGCCTCTTTCGGGGGATCCAGTAGGAAGTGTTTCATGAGCCACAAATGATTTTTCAAAGACTTGCTTTGAAGAAGGAAAAGAAAGAAGATAAACTTTATTTTTTGGTTAGCAAACTAAAAAAGGAGGGAAAGTACTGTAATATATTAATGATCAAAAGAATTGTACTTCAGGGGCTGGAACTTTGAGGTGCTGTCTAGTTCCTTGCCATCTCCAAGAGGAGTCATTCATCTGAAGCCACTAAAATGGATTGCACTAAAGGCCTGCAAGTCAGGATGGAAAATGAACTCTAATAATATCCAGGATGTTGTCTGGAACACACATCTCTCGTACAATAATAATCCATTAATTGAGGAAGATAAAGAAGACGACTACCTACTTTAAACGAGATCTTCATTTAAAATACTAACATTGTCATCTAAAGCATTGAGATGTATACAGATTACTTCAGTTTTAAGCTAAGAGGAGGAAATGTATTGGCACTTGACTTGCAAGTGTTCTACCAAGATGAACAGTTTTCCATCTCTTGTCTGACCCAGAAGATACAAGCATTCCTGAATGCTTGGAATTGAAAATCCCCACTCCAAGAACCTAGAGGATGGGTTGTGTGTATCAGATCTAATGGTGAAAAGTAGGGTAAGCTGAAATCAGTGCATACCATTTTAGTGCATACCATTCATCACATTGAATTTTCTGATCAGTGTTACGTGAGAACAAAGACTAAAGGAGCTCAGCTGCTGGTTCCCTCACCTTAAAAAGAAAAAAAAGTATGTTCTTGTCTAGAATTGTTGGTGCTGTCTCCCCTAAGGAGATGTATCTGTTTTGGGTTTTTTAGGCTTTTGAATGTCTTGTCACCATCATGCTCTGTGAAAAATACATTGCCAAGTTTGGCCTTCATAGCAATTGATTAGCTTGGTGTCTTGTCCCCATGTGCCTTTCAATTGTGTTAAAAATAATCTCCAACACAACAAGCATGGAAAGCAGTGAGGCACTTTTGCAGTTCCCTTTTGAAAAATTTAATTTGTAAGTTTTGTGGCTGTTGCTTCTGACCTAGGCATTCTTAGCTTAAAAAAACAACAACATACTCTGATTTTTTTTTTCATTTTTAACTGTTGCCAAGTTCTAGCTTCAGTGGTCTTTTATCCGCTCAGCAAACACAGACAATAAGCCCAAGAGGCAGAACTGAAGTTCCAAAACATACAAGCAGTGATGTGTAAAACATTTGAAGTACAAAGAAATTTGAGCTTGAAACTTTCCATTTCGAGTTTTAAATAGTTCCTTCCTGTTTGAAATGGTTTTCCCTGACTACTCCAGAAGAGTCAAAGTGCCCCAAAACACTTGTTTCAAACTGGTAATATTTTGTTTGTCCTTAAATCCAAGCTATATTCATTGCCTAGGATTCTGATGAATATGTAACTTAGAGTGAAGTTCCATTATTACTGAATGGTAGGACAAAGGTGTAAACTGGCAAAATAATGTGATATGACACTTTTAAAAAAGATGGTAACTTACTATTAAAGTATGAACAGGATGTGGTGACATTGGATGCCAAAGATAAGATATTGAGAGTCCCTGTTGAAAGCAATAACTACAGGGTGTTCATCTATAAGTAATAATCCCCAGAGGTATATAGCTTTGGGGGGGAAAAAACCTAGCAATTATTATTTGATATGACATGAAAACGTGCTAGAACAATCATAGTTATGATGACTGTTTGGTTAATTAACATATGCTAAGTTAAATCTCAATGCAATCTTTGACAATTTCCCTAACATGGTTTCAGTGTTATTTTGTTCAGTTCTGTGCATTTAGAATTCACAATGGCTTCCAAACATAACGAAGACATGTTTGCAGGATCTGCAGAAGAACTCTGTTAGTTGGACCCATCTAGAGATAATGGCCTACATCTCCCACAATACATGAATTTGGGGGGACAGAATTCTATTTGAACAAAATCTCAGGATGTAAGCAGAGAGACATAAAAAGGGGGTGTGTGATTTGGTAACTTAATATTGGCTGCTGTGTTGGGGCAGATTCAGCCATTGAGCTGCAGGTGATTGGTGGCTGTTTAATTCCAACTACACTTAGCCTAAGCCAGCAGGAAGCACATTAAGTGTGCTATTAATTTTTATACAGAAATCTCCAAAGGTCAATACATTTACCAATCTATTTCAAGGAGTTTGCCCTGAGATATGTTCTCCGTCTTCCCCCACTTCCTCCAAAAGATACTCATACCCTGAAAAATGAAACTAATTAAGTGACAGATGGGGCAGGTGATGGCAGAACTAAAACAAGTCTGATATAGTTTCCTAATATTCCCTTTCTGTTTCAGAATCTCAGTGCCTGTGTGTCTTTGCTCTAGCTTACCTGGTGGTTTTCCAATTTCTGACTCATTCTGCTATCTCCATTTGCTCTCCAATTTGAACATTTTTCTGGTTTCATCTGCCCTTTCCTTTACTTCAGCACAAGCACTCTTGATAATCCCAAAGAAAATCCTAAAGCAGGGGTCTTCAAACTTGGCCCTTTTATGACTTGTGGACTTGAACTCTCAGAATTCTTCAGCCAGTGTGCCTGGCTGAGGAATTCTGGGAGTTGAAGTCTACAAGTCATAAAAGGGCCAAGTTTGAAGACCCCTGTCCTAAAGAATGACACAGATTTGTATGGTAATCTAGTCTAACCTACTGTTTAGTAATAGAAACTGTCTAACTTCTGCTTAAGCAATCCCAGTGAAAGGGAGGCCATCACTTTGTTGACAGAGAAAAGGGGATCAATTGTTTTACAAAATAATGGGAATTAATTTGCTGGCTTCAAAGATACCTGTCATAAACATATGTCAACCTGCGGTAAAACCACACTAATGGAGAGAAGGAGATGTCTGAGAGAAGAAAGAAATGTATTTGTATAAGAGAATTATTAGATTTGACCAAGCGTGCAGTCAGAAAAATTTAATTAGGATTTTTGTGCTGTCAGATTTGCAAAGTTCATTTTAGAATAGTTAAGGATTGCAAGCCCGATTTTGTGTGCTCTGTTTATTTGTAGTTAGGCTGCAACCATTGAGACTAAATATCATTTATTTGGTTTAGGCTTAGCAGATCATATTAAACTGAGCCATTTTGGTTCATAAACCTTGGGGTATTGTGGGAACCCAGTGAAATATAGATTTGTGCTTCAACAATCCATAACTTGGCATGATAAATGAACCAACCCTTCCAATAAATTCCAAATGGCATCATCTCTCTTCCTGATGTGGAAAAAGATTAAAGGGCAATTTCTATTCCAAATGAACTCGTGCCTCAGCTGATCATCCCTTTGTCACTAATCTTCTTAGGAAGAAGGGATGACCCATAACATATTCTTCTACACAAGCTTAAGTGAAATGGATGTATGTGGCTAAAGCTCTACATAGATTGTATGCTTCAAATGGAGCTTGTCCAGAAGAACTTGGGTCAGGGCTGTCTCCTTCTTATGTTTGTGTTTGTGACTCTAGATCCACCCAGTAGTTCTCACTCTCTGTGGTTGTCACTGTTGCAAGTGCCTGGGGAGCAGGTCACTTATAAATTAAATGTTGAGATCTATTTTAAATGTTCCTTTTATTAGAAGGCTAGAGCTAATTTAACTTGTATTCCTTATTGTAATGCTTTTTATATTGAAAGGGATTTTTGTAACATAAAAATAGAATGCTATTCTGAAGCATTTGCACAGTTTCTGTGTGCATTTCTTAAAAAATGAAAAGACAAAAATAAAGACACTGTGACAAAAAAGCTTTACTTTCCACAATTCATGGGTTCTGTTTTTCTTTTTGAAATAGACATGTAATAGCCTTTTTCCTGAGGAAAAAAATAGAGTTACAATCCAAATAGTAGAACTTGTTATTTTGAGTTGAAAATAGAGAACAATTAAACTGTTCAGAATTATGAAATCCAATATAATCAAGTTTTTGGAGTTAACCTTGGGTTTGCACTTAACTCTTCAGAGATCACACAAAATGTCGTTTGACTTTTTGCACGTTCACCATTAAAGCCTGCAGGAAGCCAACATGTACAAGGTACATTGAAGGCATTTTTGAATACACAATTGTTTGTAGGTTGTCAAGGTCATTTGAATAATGTTGGCACAAAATGGAGTTTATCTTAAAGGCTCAAAGATACATGTTCTCCAATCACAATTGACCTTTTTATATATTTATGCTTAAAGTGAGCATATTAAATATTGATCTCTTGGGATTACACATGAATGCATCAATAAACAAAAGGTTATTTGCCCAAACCTTTTGGAAAAAAAATGGCTTCAAAATACAATAGTTTACTTAAGCATATAAACTAATAAGCATATGAATATAGCCATACCCAGCACAACATTCTATTTCAGGGCAACTAACAGTATGTAAAGTACAGAAAAGGAAGAAGAAATAGTAAACCAAAGAAGTGAAAAGACAATATAAACAAGAAAAGGAATATAGCCAAATTTACACCAACACTATTCAATATTCCTCTCTGTACATTTTTTGCTTTGCAAATCATCTTTGCTTTGCAAACCATCTTTTATTTACTATATTTATACACTATACCAATTCATATTTTGTCTTTTGCTCCTCAAACTTACCATCTCTTTATTTTTCAGGAACTCATCACTTTTCTCCAACAATGTCTTTCTTGGTCTTCCCCTTCTTTATCCAACCTGTTTGGGATCTTGGCCATCTGTGTACAAAAGTCTATGCACATTTATCTCCTAAATTAACACAGTTCTAATATTGCCATATATATCCCTTCTACATTTTTATGCATAATACATTAAAGAAGGAACAGCACAGACCTAGAACTTACTCTTTGATTAATGTTGAACCCTTCACTGGTATCTTATTTAATTTTTATACTTGCTTTTCATGCATCATAGAGTGGTCCTCCCACTTTCAGGAAGCAACCTTCCACTCTGTACTTATTCCATAATTAAGTCTCTTCCCTGTATCAAGGAATTTGGGATATTGGGAATGCTTTCTATAAATCAACAACCATGCAATAAATTCTTTTTGGCACATTGATACTTTCCCCAGTAAATACTAAAACTCAGGTCTGTTTATTCCCCGCATGGTATGAAGTTATATTGCGCTTCCCAAATTTTATTCAACATCGCCTCTTCTTTCAGTCAGAATTCTGCCTCTTTTTTTGGCATACTTAATAAACTGATGCTCCTGGAGGGCTTTTTGCATTTCTCTTTGTTATCTCTCCCTTAGTATAGGAGAAAAATAAACAGAATTCTTGCAATTGCCAAGAATAGATACAGACTCTGCCCAAGGCACAGGGCACAGCCTGAACAGTTGTGCTCCACAAGAAAACTACATCCATGTTTTAGTAATTTTCTAATTGCAGGTAGGGAGGGAGATTTTTCCTGCTTTAGAATAGATACACCTTAGAATAGAACAGAATATTTTTTTTCAACATTCTCCTGTTTAGAACTTTCTTTTCATCGATATTTTCTTGGAGACTAATATTTATAGCTCTTCATCGTGGATATATCTACACTGACTGCATTAAGGTAATTTTATTTATTTTAAGCATGATACCCCATTTTAGGGTTGATTGGCTAAAGCCCTAGTAAGATGTTCATTTACATAGCATGTTTTTCAATCCCACTCTTGACCACATCATGGCATATTCCCGTGCAAATCCCTGAAATCTTTTTTTCAGTATTCCCTCATTCCTATTTCATTCCAAAACCCTATTGTGGCAAGGTCACAAATATTTAAATGTAATAGTAC